ACTCAGGCTGGTCTCGAACTCCTGAGCTCAAATGATCCTCCTGCTCAGCCTCCCAAAGTGCTAGGATTACCGGTGTGAGCCACCACGCCCAGCCTCCAATTTCTTATGTAAAACCAAAATCTACTTTGAGCAGATAAATATTTCTTTAACTGGCTCATTTCATTCTCTATTTGACTGATTTTATTTTACTTTTTTTTTTTTTTTTTTTTTTTAGCAGAGCCTCACTCTGTTGCCGTGGGCTAGACTGCTGTGGCATCAGCCTAGCTCACAGCAACCTCAAACTCCTGGGCTCAAGCAATCCTTCTGCCCAGCCTCCTGAGTAGCTGGGACTACAGGCATGCGCCACCATGCCTCAGCCTCCCGAGTAGCTGGGACTACAGGCATGCACCACCATGCCCGGCTAATTTTTTCTATATATATTAGTTGGCCAATGAATTTCTTTCTATTATTTTAATAGTAGAGACGGGGTCTCACTCAAGCTGGTTTTGAACTCCTGACCTCGAGCAATCCGCCCACCTCAGCCTCCCAGAGTGCTAGGATTACAGGTGTGAGCCACCTCGCCCAGCCAAAAACGTATTCTTTATTAAAAGAAACACACTGGTTAATATTCTGTATTACTTGTGTAAGGTTGTTGAACATAATGTGCAAGTTCAGTTTGGATGTGGGGTTTTAATAATTATACTTAGGAAAATCTCTATATACATGTTCATCATAAATTTATCCTGCGTATCTGTTATGCTTCTCTTCTGCAAACCCATCCTCCAGAGAAAGAAATCAACTATTTGATTTAAAAAAAAAAAAAAAAGCTTCTTTTGCTTATTAGAGGTGAATCCTTTCACAGCTCCTCTTCTTCTGAGCCAGGGGTGGCATATATGATATAGCCAAAGAGGTTTTCCTGTCAGGTGTAAAATTTTTCTAGCTGTAGTAACTCTTCCCAGTGATATCAGTTCAATTGGAATTTGGGGCTGTGTTAAGAAGAAGGTCCATGGCATTAGGGTTGTTCAATTGAAATGCCTTTTGTGATTTGCCAGCAAGATTTCCTTTTAGCTTGTCTTCCTACATTTACCCATAACTCCCACCCCGACAGACTACAAGGCCAGGCTAGGCTAAGAGTCCTTACCAAATCAAAAATGAAGGAGCCATCTTCCTCTTCTAACTAGGGAGTAGAAACTCACTTCCCAAGTAAGTAGTTTATCCCAAATTTTGTTTGTTCAGTCTTAAGGTACAAGCCACCTTAATAGGTGTATATATGGAAAGATAAAAGGGGAGATAAATATTTATCACGCCTGTTTTCTGTAGTTAATTGTTGGCATAAGCCAAAATTGGAGATTTCTGAAACCCCAAATTTGTTTTTGACTCACGCAGACACATTAAAAACACCATTTTTCTGAAATGTAAACTGTAAAATTAGCATAAGTTTAGAAAGAAATATGTAAAATATTTACTATGACATTAAATAACCAGTTCAATTATATAAAAAAAAATCAATGTGATTTACAATCAACTGTTTAGGAAAACATCTATGATGTAAAGGTAAACATGATGAGTGCAATACAGGGAATTAAAACGGGAGTATTCTATCAGAATGAACAAAGAGAAATTATATACCTCTTTTCCTGCCTTTTTTAAGTGTAGGAAACTCTTAATACCTTTATAAATTTTAAAGGAAATATCTTTTATTTAAAGTAGGGAGTAGAGCTATAAAGTGTTTTTTATATATTTTTTTTATTTGTTTGTTTTTTGAGATAGAGTCTCACTTTGTTGCCCAGGCTAGAGAGTGCCATGGTATCAGCCTAGCTCACAGCAACCTCAAACTCCTGGGCTCAAGCTATCCTCCTGCCTCAGCCTCCGGAGTAGCTGGGACTACAGGCATGTGCAACCATGCCCGGCTAATTTTTTTTCTCTATATATTAGTTAGCCAATTAATTTCTTTCTATTTATAGTAGAGATGGGGTCTCGTTCTTGATCAGGCTGGTCTCGAACTCCTGACCTCGAGCAATCCGCCTGCCTCGGCCTCCCAGAGTGCTAGGATTTCAGGTGTGAGCCACCTCACCCGGCCTGTAAAGTGTTTTTTAAATAATGATTTTTAGAAGTTTTAAAAATTATAAAACTCCTAAGTACAGTGAGATTAAATATAGCTTACATAAAATGAAAATTACTGGGCTGGACACAGTGGCTCAACACCTGTAATTCCAGCACTTTGGGAGGCAGAGGCAGGAGGACCACTTGAGGCCAAAATTCGAGACCAACCTGGGCAACATAATGAGACTTTGTCTCTACAAAAAAATAAACTCAATTCCATGACAGGCTAAAAAATAATTTTTGATGAAAATTACTGATATAATCTTCTCAGCTTCCCTTAGTCTAATGAGTTTTGGTTTTAAAACTCAGAATAAAATTACTGGTGTAACTGGAGAAATCTGGGCATCACAGGAGGTCTCCTGATGGACTGCAAGTCATTTTGTGATCCGCATGTCTAGGAAATCACTAAATTAGGCACCTCCATTTACAGCCAGCACTTAGGGAGGTCACCTGAAGTTCCCAAGTCTCCTTTTTCTCTGCAAATTAATGAGCCAGAAATCTAATTGCTACTATAAAAGGATTAATATACACTGTAAATATATGAAGCCAGAACATGTTCATATTCTCTGAACATTTTCATCTCTCAGTTAAGCATTGAAGTAAAAAAGGGGGGAAAAAACTTACTGGCCTGTTTTTGTTTATTTGTTTTTAATGAAAATTATACAGTTGTGTCAGAATAACCTAGTGATTTTGAACACATGGCTCTTAGGGAATCTGTACAGTAAATTGCTTATACACTTCTAATTCAGGAACAAAACATGCTATGAGATTAAAAGCTTGGAAGCACTATGTGAACTTACTTTAAACTTTTTAAACACTGAAAGAATTACCATATAGAAAAAAATGAGTCTTTAATGAAGTGACAAGTTACAGTTAATGGTTGATTTTATTTAACTGTTTTTGTTTGGTTCTTATCTGTGAAGAAAATATAAAGTACCATGAGAGTAGAAATAGAAAACCTCCAAAGGTACTTAGAATCTCTTTGGGAAAGTAGAAGACACACATTTTAATTATAATTTATATAATACAGAATATTATCGCCGTCATTTATTTTACTGACAAGATTACATGGAAGAAAGAAATGACCATTACTTACTCTTTAAATATTTACTTAGATATTAGAGAAAATTTGGGTGACTTAATGCAGTTCAATTTTTTCATCAGTAAACAGGCATACTTTAGGGTTATGATGACTAAAAACAATATATAAAAGCATATAAGCATAGTGAAGTACTTACTAAATGATAGCTACTCATAGTAGTAATATCATCTGATTTAATAATAATACCTATGAATATGGAAGTATTTTCTGTTCTACAAATGAAGAAATTAACACTTAAAGAGGATAACATGCTTAAGATTGTCCAGCTAAATAAGAGGTAGAGCCAGGATTGAACCCAAGGAGTCTAACATCAGAAACCAATCCCTTAACTACAATACTATTAAACTGCCTTATCATTCATTTCACAAAATTAATTGAATGTACCTATATGCCAGGTACTGTTTTGTCATTAATAATTTTATGTTGAATACATTAAGGTTTTCCTATGTGATGAAGATGGGCATATAATGACATTATATTAGCTTATTTTGACAAAGCATAATCCACATATTTAAGCATATTTATAAGTAACATCTCCTTAGTAAATATTAGAGTCAGGGACTATTGCCTCCCCCAATAACATGAGCCAGATAATTCCAAATAAATATGTTTATAAAGCCTTGGATTTTTACACTGTATTATTCATGCATTTAGATAAGACTTAAGCAATACATTGCTTATTTTTTTCTTTTACTCATTTTGCTTATTCATTTTTTTATTTTACTCATTTTTAATGCATTTTAAAATTACGAAAAATACAGGCCAGGCAGGGTGGCTCATGCCTGTAATCCTGGCACTTTGGGAGGCCGAGATGGGAAGATTGCTTGGGCTCAGGAATTTGGGACCAGCCTGAGCAAGACCCAGTCTCTACTAAAAAAAATAGAAAGAAATTAGCTGGAAGGATTGCTTGAGCCCAGGAGTGAGGTTGCCGTAAGCTAGGCTGACACCATGGCACTCTAGCCTAGACAAAAGAATGAGACTCTGTCTCAAAAAAACAAATAAATAAATAAAATTAGCCATAGATGGACCCTTGGATTCCAACTACTTGAAAGCATACAAGTCATAAGCCAGTTGCTTCTTTATCCTACAGTCATGAAATAACTGTGTTCTGAACAGAAGTATCCACAATTGAGTTTTTAAAAAATGATCCGTTAGTTTCATATGCAGTGGGATACTTTCAATATGCTTGATTTTTGCCTCTGAAAGTCTCTGCCGTCTCAATTTTCAGTATAAATAGGACTATAAAGTGAGTTTTATGAATATCTATATTTTTTAAATTTTTTTATTTCAGCATATTAAGGGGTACAAATGTTTAGGTTACATATATTACCCTTGCCACACCCGAGTCAGAGCTTCAAGCATGTCCATTCCCCAGATGGTGTGCACCGGTGCACCCATTAGGTGTGTATATACCCATCCCCAATTCCCCCTCCCATCTGCCCGACACCCGATGAATATTATTACTATACGTGCACTTAAGTGTTGATCAGTTAATGCCAATTTGCTGGTGAGTACATGTGATGCTTGTTTTTCCATTCTTGGGATACTTCACTTAGTAGAATGAGTTCTGGCTCTATCCAAGATAATACAAGAGGCACCATTATTTTTTGTGGCTGAGTAGAACTTCATGGTATACATATACCACATTTTATTAATCCACTTGTGTATTGATGGGCACTTGAGTTGTTTCCACATCTTTGCAGTTGTGAATTGTGCTGCTATAAACATTGTAGTGCAGATGTCTTTTTTATAGAGTGTCTTTTTTTTCCTTTGGGTAGATGCCCAGTAATGGGATTGCTGGATCAAATGGTAGTTCTACTTGTAGCTCTTTGAGGTATCTCCATATTGCTTGCCACAGAGATGAATATCTATTTTTAAAAACTAAAGAGGTTTTCTTGGTGCCAGTTAGCGAACAAGCTAGCATGTTAATGATGTAGTTTAGTGCCCCTAATAGAGCCACATGAACGCTTTTCTGTTTGTGGTATTTTCCATTCAAATGTCAACCATATGGTTGTGTGGTGAATTAGACTTTGTAAAGAGATTATATAGTGTCTTTTTGAATGTTTTATCTAATAAAAGAAATATGATGGGGTCTGTGCTACTTCTGGCTGAAGCAAGACAGGTGAGGATATTTTTGGTTTCTATTAAATAATTCAATTGCTGACAATCCTCTCTTTGGTGTAGAACATAAAATATGGGTTTAAAAATACTATATGGAAGGAAACAAACTAATAGTAGACTCTGGATGACCAAAAGATGTCTTTTCACAGAACTGTAAGTCAAATCTTTCTCCATAATGGACGTACAGGTCCTTATTTTTCTCAAATGGCTTACAAAAGAGTAGTATGATGTTAGTACTACTAAAAATGAAAATCCAATAAATGTGGTTCCAACAAGACTTGCAATCTGAGAAATTGTGGCTCCTAGTTCCATCTGCTGATTATAGCACTGGCGCTCTTCTCCTTCTATAGCCTCTGCAACCGAGTAGTATATGGTAACTGGAAGAATTATGCCCAGTACAACTCCCCATATGTAAATGCATAGTTTTCTAGCAAAGTTGGGCTGGCGAAATTTTTTCAATAAATGGCCATAAAATATTTTTTCATAGCACGAAGTGGTCTCTTGCGTGGAATCCTTTTTCATTAAGGTAGCATAGCGGCTTATGGCAATCCAACTTAAAATTAAGAGGCTGACAAACATACTTACATGAATGGATAGAACTCCCAGAAAACTGACCACTCTGCATTGTACAGATTGATATTCCCATTGGAAACCTTTCAGGAAATAGATAGCTATGAAAGGCATGGCGCTGCACACAAGCAAGTTTGCAGTCACAAGGTGTGCCAGGTAGATGTGTGTTGATGTTCTCTTACCTATTTTTCTTAAAAATATCCATTGAGAGAGAGAGTTTCCAAAGAGACCAACAATACAAAGGAAGGTGTAAGTGATCGGTAAAGCCGTGGACGTGATCACGGATGGCTGAATACATGTTGAGTTGTTCATTTAGATCAGATTTTGTTGAACTTTGCCACAGGATCTAGAACAGAATTGTAGATATTTAATATTAACATTAATATTAACATTATAAATAGGACAATATTTAAGCTAAATAGTAAAAAAAACAAAACACTGGATAAAATAAAATAGTAACAAAAATGTATTAAATGGAAAGGGAAAGTGTAGATGGTGTCTTACCTTTTCTAATTACGATTGTCCAGTTGAAATAAAAGCAAAAAATTATTTATTGTGATGGATAATGCCTTTGTCTAAAAAAACAAATTTGCTACAAATAGTTAAATGCCTAGAATTCATTATTTTATATTAGAGGAATGTATAGTTCTTAGAGTATAAAACAATTTGTTTTACCTAGAAATGTAATTTAAAAATTTTTAAGGCACATGCAATCAATACAAGATAGCCAAAAGAAAGTGTTGTGAAAGTATTTTGTGGCCACATTAATAGAGAGATGACTGATTTTTAATTAGCACATTAATTGTATGTAAATAGTTTTCAAAATGGTGTCTTTTCATGGCTAGGTTAAAATATTTCTCTACAGTATAATACCATTAGAATAGTCTCTTCCTATTTTAGAAGTAAACTCAATTACACATGAGCAAAAACCTCAGGCAAGGTCCAGAATTGAACAGAAGTGTAGCGACTAAGAATAGACTCCAAAATCCCAGGGTCATTACCAAAGGGCATTTGAAATATCTCACTTTAAATATTTAATGTTAAACTGTCATACTTCAAGAAAAAGTTTACTTTCAAATTGTATGTCAGACTGTCTATGCTTATTGGTTAGAGCACCCTCATGTGTCCTCAGTTGTAATTTGATATCTGGGTTTTTCAGGATTTTTTTTTTTAAGATACGATGTTTTAATCACAGCATAAATGCAGGTGTGGTTTTTTTTAATGTCTTATTTTTAAATCTTTCTTGCTTCAAAGGGTACATATTAATTGCTGAAAAGTCACATATAATTCCTTTTTCTTCTTATTTTTCTCATTTCCTTATTTCTTTTTTTTTTTATTTCGTCATATTATGGGGGTACAGATTTTAAGGTTTCAATAAATGCCCATTTCCCCCCTCCCCCCAAAAGTCTGAGTCTCCATCATGACCATCCCCCAGATGGTGCACATCTCACTCATTATGTATGTATATACCCCCCTCCCCCCCCAATACCCTATTACTGTAGTACCTATGTGTCCACTTAGTGCTACTCAGTTAATACCAGTTTGCTGAGAATATATCTGGTGCTTGTTTCCATTCTGGGATACTTCACTTAGTAGTATGGGTTCCAGCTCTAACCAGGAAATATAAGATGTGCTATATCACCATTGTTTCTTCTTTTTTTTTTTTTTGAGACAGTCTCACTTTGTAGCCCAGGCTAGAGCGAGTGCCTTGGCGTCAGCCTAGCTCATAGCAACCTCAACTCTGGGGCTCAAGCAATCCTGCTGACTATAGGCATGCACCACAATGCTAATTTTTCATATTATTAATTGGCCAATTAATTTCTTTTATTTATAGTAGAGACAGGGTCTCACTCTTGTTCAGGCTGGTTTCGAACTCCTGACTTGAGCAATCCACCCACCTCGCCTCCCAGAGCGCTAGGATTACAGGTGTGAGCCTGCGCCTGGCCTATTCCCTTATTTCTTTCAGATGCAAGAAAAGTTATTGGATTCTGGTCAGATAAGATTCATGAGCTCTATTCAGAATCTGCCAAATTTCTCTGTGTTCTTCACCATAGCTTTCTTGCACACTACATTCTCCTCTTTATTATCTAGAACAGGGTTTCTCAATCTTTTTTTCTTCTTAATCACATTCTCTTAATACATAAAAACTAAATTTACCTTCTGATATTCTTATATGCCCCAGCTCCTCAGGGCTATTTTCTTTCTACTCTTTCTCAAAATCACAGTTTTTTTCTGCATCTTGGATTACAGAAATACGGGTTTAATATTTGAAATAATTAGTTAACAAACAATCCACACCAAAGACTTGAAAACTTGAGGGCTACACAGTGTCTCTAGGTTAAAATAGTGAGACCCTTAATTATATCTACAAGTGTCTTTACGTCTTACTTTATTTATTTGCAATTCTATTTGGAAAACAGTCCATATGTTTCAGTGAGGTTGTCTCTTAAATCTAGTGCAGCCTGGTGAATTGGAATCTGGTTGCAGTTAGTGTAGACCCTGGTATAAATATAAAACCTAGTCTATAACTTTACTGATTTAAAAATCATTCAAGCCAGGTGCATGCTACACACCTGTATCCTAGCACTCTGGGAGGTCGAGGTGGGAGGATTGCTCAAGATTAGAGTTCAAAACCAGCCTGAGCAAGAGCAAGACCCTGTCTCTACTAAAAATAGAAAGAAATTAATTGGCCAACTAAAAATATATAGAAAAAATTAGCCAGGCATGGTGGCGCATGCCTGTAGTCCCAGCTACTCAGGAGGCTGGGGCAGAAGGATTGCTTGAGCCCAGGAGTTTGAGGTTGCTGTGAGCTAGGCTGATGCCACAGCAGTCTAGCCCAGGCAACAGAGTGAGGCTCTGCCTAAAAAAAAAAAAAAAAAAAAAGTAAAAATAAAAATCAGTCAAATAGAGAATGAAATGAGCCAGTTAAAGAAATATTTATCTGCTCAAAGTAGATTTTGGTTTTACATAAGAAATTGGAGGCTGGGCGTGGTGGCTCACGCCGGTAATCCTAGCACTTTGGGAGGCTGAGGCAGGAGGATCATTTGAGCTCAGGAGTTCGAGACCAGCCTGAGTAACAGTGAGACCCTGTCTCTACTAAAAATACAAAGAAATTAATTGACCAACTAAAAATATATAGAAAAAAATTAGCCGGGCATTGTGGTGCATGCCTGTAGTCCCAGGTACTCAGGAGGCTGAGGCGGAAGGATTGCTTAAAAAGGAGTTTGAGGTTGCTGTGAGCTAGGCTGATGCCACGGCACTCTAGACCAGGCATCAGAGTGAGACTCTGTCTCAAAAAAAGAAAAAAGAAAAAAAGAAATTGGAGTGATACTAAAGAAAAGCATTAGCCCCTGCCTTGTATAGATAACACATAATATACTAAGAACTGCAAAGGTAATGGTGCTTCTGTATGAATATTGATAGCAAATGCTTCCAAACAAAAGGGAGGTAAAAAGACTTTTGCAGAGGCTAGCTTTTTCAGACAGATGTTGAGCCTCTATAGCAACCTCAGTGTAGCAAATGACAACTCATTCGCCATCTTATCTTCCCAAATTTGTATCTACTATGTACCTTTTCTTCAAAACTACTATTTATTACAAAACTACTAGATAATTATTTTCTAAAATTTGGAAAATACTATTAAACTTAAGAAAGCAAATAGAAGTTACATGTTACAGATGCAGAACTGGTTTCCAGAAAATGTCTTCAAGTCTGCATTCTCCCAGCAGAATTCCTGTCTCGAGTCATTCATGCATACATTGTGTCTCTGCTAATTTGACAAATGAGAAAAGTTCTACAATTCTATGTTTAGTTACTAATAATTACCTAGGTAGTATGCTGACTGCGTTTCTTAATGATCAGTTCTCAAAATTTAAATAGGTTAGTCCTATCCTTATAGAGTTAATTTTTAAGCTAAAAATGAATTTAAAAATCACCCTTACCTGTACAGGTAGTTATATATTGTTCAGGGTAGTGATGCCAAATTTCAGAGTTAAGATTCTCTGATCTTCACTCTTCTAGTATACTTAGTCAATGTGAATAAATTCTTGCATGACACCAACTATAGTGGGAAAAAGAGGAATTAAACAGAGTATTGAAGAATTTCAATAGTTATGGTAAATGTAGCAACTACCTCCTCAAAAAAAAACCCTCATTTCTCTATTTCTGTGGTGGGAGGAAGTTGATAGACAATATACATATTGTACTTCCTTATGGTTATTTCATGAACTAGTTACACTTCAGTTAGTTTTGTTGGCATGATTGACCGAAGTTCATAGGTTCAATCATCCATAGCTAGTTTTATATGACACAGTGATAGAAGGAACCCCACTCTATGGTAACCCAATAAGATACTGGTATAAATTTGTCTGTAAAATCATTTGTGGATGGCTTTATTTGCACTCCATCTTCATCAAAAATAAAGGGAAACAAAACTCAAAAGTTTTCTTACTTATAGCAACTTACTAGAATCAAATATCATAGAACTGGAATAGAACTTCATGATCATATATGGGTTGAGACCCTTTATTTTAAGGTTGAAGAAGCCCAGAGAAGCTCACCATAAGCATAGATGGCACCCAGGGGTTTGGGTCCCAGTTTGGTTACTAATGAACTAATCCATGCTACTTACTCAGGAGGCTGAGGCAGGAAGATCACTTGAGCCAGGAGTTCAAGGTTACAATGAGCTATGCTGGCACCACTGCACTCCAGCCTGGGTGACAGGGTGAGACTCTGTCTCTAAAACAAACAGACAAAAAAAGAATTGTGAAAACAACTTTATGTATAGAATTGTTCAACCAGTCTGTGAACTACTAACTAAATGAAAGCTAAGTGTAGAGTTTGGGAGCCAGACTTGCATCAAGCACTGCCCTTCCTTGGGTAGTTAAGCCAGTGGGAGTCTAAAAAAGAAAACAGAAATCTAATTTCATGAAGCCTGAGCACTTTAGTTTTCAGTAAATCTTCATTTAAAAATTAATGGAAGTACTTTGCCATTTCTCATAAGCCCCAAAGCTTACCTTAAGTTCATGGTGATTTCATAAAGTCTCTCTGATGTTTGCTAATAATTTCTCTCTCAAACAAAAATAACAACTACCTGAAATGTCTGGATTTTGTTCTGCTATTCATCTTTGCAACGTTTGCCACTATTTAACTAAGAACAGTGACTCATCCAGGGTTACATGGCTATTGATTACAGAATAATTTGGCTTCTACCACTCTTCCTTCAGTAATTTCTCATGTTTGGGGAAGGAATTATTTGGAACAAAAAAAAACAGTTTGATGTAATCTAGAGAAGAAAAAGTGGACATGGAATGCTATTTCTAAGTGATTGAAAAATAGGTAAAACTATTTGGGGCATAGCACCTTTGGTCCATAAAAAAAATGTCCTTCACTTCCTGTGTTGTTCCCAAACTCAGTAAATGATACCATCGCTCCTTCAGTTAGTCAAGCCAAAAACCTAGGAATCATCCTTGATTCCTCTTTCTTTCACATTTCACATCCAATCAATTGCTACTACTGCAGCTTCTACCACCACCACCGTAAATTAGCCAAATGTCATGAGAGCTTACTATGTGCCAGACATCCTGCTATGTGCTTTACCTGCAAATCTTATTTAATCTTCATGACACCCTGTGAAATAAATATTTCATTTTAAAGGTGAGGAAAACTGAAGCTCAGAAAAATCACATAAGTTGTCCAAGGTCACACAGCCATCAGTCTTCACAGCATGGTAACTAGCTCCCCTCAGAGCAAGGTAATTCAAGAGAACAAGTAGCTGCAAAGCTTTTTTTTTTGATCAAGCCTCTGAAGTTAACATTGTCACTTCTACAGTACTCTGGTTACACAGAGCCAGCCTTGAGTCAGTGTGGGAGTGGTAAGTATCAGGAGGTGATGATCACTGGGAGTCCTCTTGGAAACTGGCTACCACAGATGTCAGTCAACCATTGGACCAAAGAAAGAATCAGAAGTACTGCTTAAAAACCACTGTCAAACCACCGATCATTTATTGAGCAAGAATGCCCAGACGGGTATTAAGTTTTGCCAGTTCTCACACTATTTTGATTTTTAGTGCTCTCTAAGGTTCTGTGAAAACAACTGGAAGGAAAAAGAACACAACCTGGGGTAAGCAACAATTCTGCACCATGTATTGGACAAAGCATTTAGTCCCACTTTACATTGAGGCTCAGAGGTTAAATAGCTTCCCTGAGGTGATATAACTAGTAAGTTAGCTTTAAAACAACCTCATTCTCTGCCTTAGAAAGCAGAAATTATTGGTTGTCCTTGTAGGTCAGTAAGGGTATCTGATAGTACTTATCTGATAAGGTCAAGTTTTGAATACTTTTAACTTCATTCAGACAGTTTCCTATTCTAGACTCTGAGGTAGCAGAAATGGACTATGGAAGAAATCAAGGCCAAGTTTTTTCTATCTTTGAAAGCTCTTGACTTTGTTAAGCTAACTTTGATTATAGCAATATTGGTATAAATTCTGTGATTATGATTTCAATGATTTTGAGATTCTCCAATTGAAATCTAAGAAAAATTTTATTTCTATTTTTCTAAGAAATTAGAAATACTGCAATTGATAGAAGGATTAAATGTCAGGTAATACTAGATTAACAAAAATACTACTTGTCAGGGAGAAATTCCAAGAATAATAAAGTATGTTCCAAGTTCTCTGTTAAAGTGGCCCGTTTGGACTTTTATTCATTCACATCACCAGTAGTTTTCTTTGGTTTTCATTCATCTTTCCCATCTTTCTCTTCAGAGTTCCATTTCCGTGGTCCAACTCCAAATGCTCTGGCCTAACAGTTCTAATTACTTCGCTATATCATCTGCCAAATACTGATCTCCTAAGTGTTCTGCTCTGACACTTCTGACCTACCTCCTTGAGATGTTAGTGCCCTATAATTCAAGTCCTGTCTTGTGCTACTTTTCCTGCTTTTGAGATAGATTTGTGTATTGTGTGCAGGTTTTTTTTTTTTTTTTTCAGTCTGGCCCCAGAATTCCTTTGGAGTGGTTCAGTGAGAATGGTTCAAAGAACAGGCATGTGGTCATTTATTTTGGCAATCCATGGTGGGGTATATGGCAGGGGTACATGAGAACTGTCCTGACTCATGTGGATTGTTGGGGTTAGAATTAGGGTGCCTTATGAGTTTCCCTCAGAGCCAGAACCCAGAGGACACAGGACATCTTAGTCATCCCTGAACCTTTGTGCTTCATCAAGGAGGTTATTTTAGGCTATCTGAGCTAGTGTCTAAACTGGCTGCAATTGGCCTTTTAAGTCCTCTCTCTAACCAATCAGGAGCTCAGGGCACTGGTATGCAGGAAGAAGAGGACATGCCTAATTTAGTCCACATTAGATCATTACATTCAAAAGATAATTATTTCTCCCAAAGGGCATAAATAAGCATTGTCCAGTTCAGTGCATACCCAAGCCAGTGGTTACCTTTAGCAAGAGTGAGGCACAGCTCTGTTACTCAAAGCTGTAGTTTATTCAAAGCTCACTGAGCCTCCTGCTCTCTTTAGGATGTGGTGTCTGGCCACAGCCCTGTTTCCAGTTGCACAGCTCTCAAGCCCTCAGCACCTGCTACCAGCAGCTCTAATTAGGGGCATCCCACACTTAAGCACGGTATGAAGAAAAACCTCTACTTGCTGCAAAGAGCTGTTTTCTCAGCAAGCAATGTTGAGTATTTCTCTCAAGACTTTTACAAAACAGAAGATACAGTCCAAAGTTTGGAAATTTATAATAACACAAAAAAGCTATTAGCCTTGTAAGAAAGGTCTAATGACAAAACATAAATGAGTAGAAACCCACACACACAAACTCAAAGTGAATTTTCCTAGCAGCTTGCATGTCCTTATGCATCCAGGAGTTGGATCCATCTCTAAATTCCACTGGTAACTTTTACCTTGGGTAACTGATTGCAGCACAGCTGCAGCTCTCTACCATGGGTGACCATGTAGCCACCCCAGAATCAAAGGTTCCTCATCCCCAACCCCAACCCTTTCCTCCTTTCTCTTCCCAAACCACTTATTAATATTTCGATGAGTCAGGGCCATTCTAGCAAACCTTTCTTCACTGACACCAATTGATGAGAGTAGAAAAAACTCTCACACAAACTCAAAGTACTATCGACACAGAAGACTTCTTTGACCAAATGTGGGGGGATTTCTCCCCACCAACAAGCAAGCTATCAATTCTTCAGTGGACTCCCGCTAGGTGTCCTCTAATTCAGTTCTATTCTGACACTGTCTACCTGGAGATAACTTCAGATCCCACAGGCTGAGGGCTTGGTCCCCAACTGCTCACATTCAGATGCCAATCACAAGCCCCAGGTTGTTTCACCCATGCTTCTGACCAACAGGCTATATAAATTGGAGCTCTCATGGCTCTCTCCTTTAGTTCAATTAATTTGCTGGAATGGCTCACAGAATGCAGAGAAACATTTATTTTATGTTTCCCAGTTTATTATAAAAAATATTACAAAGGATACAGATGAAAAGATGCATAGAACCAGGTATGAGTGAAAGGGAACAGGGCTTCCATGCCCTCCCCAGGGGCACTACCCTCTAGGAATATCCACACCTGGCAGCCTTCCAGAAGCTCTCACAGCCTTGTTGTTTTGGGATTTTATGGAGGCTTAATTAAGCAGTCATGATGGATTAAACCATTAGCCATTGGTGATTAATGTAACCTTCAGCCCCTCTCACCGCAGCCCCCACCTCCCAGGATATGGGCGAAAGTCCCAACCCTCTATTCCTGCCTAGGTCTTGCCTGTGACCAGCCCCATCCTGAAGCTATTTAATACCTAGGGAATTCACCCATCAGTCATCTCATTACCATGCAAAAAAGACATCACTTTGGAGTTTGTGAGGATTTTAGGAGTTGTATACCAGGAAATAGGGTCAAAGACCAAATATATTTTACAAACTCATAGTCCACCCTTAGTCTTCAAAACCAATCCCTTACATCAAAAGGATATACAACTCAAAAGTCATTGACACATTACTAGAATCCCATTCACTCATTAATAATTAGTCCAATCCATGATAGTGTATGAATATCTCCCATGTAAGGTCACTCAGGTTGGCAGGCTTTCCTTCAGTCTTGTCAGGTTCCAAAAGCAGGATTGATCACAGCAAACATAGAACTTCACCCTTTCAAACATCTGATATAATAATTGAGCTCAGAGACAATGTCATCTCTTGCTCTGAGCCTCTTTCAAGGTGTTATTGTAATACTGGCTTTCCCTCAGTTCATAACCCATTTATTCATTTCTTTCCATCAGCTACTATTTCTCCTTCCCTCCATAAACACCCAAACTCTTCCACATTTGGAAAGGACATTAGAATGGCCGTCGTGCTGGTCTAGATTGCAAGCAGTGCATGTCTAGATTACAGGAAGCAATACTAGTCTAGCAAGCAGCTCCTCCTTGGTCCACTCCCATTCAGATTGGGTAAGGTTACACAGGTGGAGAACTACTGAGCTATTTTTGCTACCATGCAATATGAAGTATTCACTCTTAGCCCCAATTTTGCCAGATGGGATGAAGGCACAACCCACCTCCATCAGGCCTTAGGAATTATGACATAAGGTTTAAATACATAGTTACAGTTCCTTGCTTAGATTTCATCCCTGTTTCTGTAAGCTGCATTTGCAGCCCTGGTCCTAGGACCACTGCATCAGGTAGGGGAAAGGGGAAAAAAAAAGTTCAGGTGATGTGGGAAAGAAAGAAAAAAGCATAATCATTATACCAGCATACTCCTCCCATGGCAAGAATTATACAGCCATATCAGCATCCTTCCTCACCCCTCCTCCCCAGATACCATAGAAAAACAGTGGAATCTATGGCGCCAGGACCCTCCAATAGCTCCATGTCACCTATGAACACACACTCATGAAAGCATGTAATCCAGCCCTTCATCCTTTTATCTCCTCCCTGTTTTAGACAACCAATGTTTTAATTGTCCATTCCACTTCTCTATCAGACTATTACTCTGAGGAGGATATCTTTCTATCCATTGTTGAACATTATGGCTGTTCCTTAGTCTGAAGAAATGATGGTTGGCCATCCAAATCCATGCAATGTCTTCTGGTTTTTCTATAGAACTCTAACCATTTGCATCTTTCACAGGGTAAGCAAAGCCCAGTCTTAAGTAAATGTCTATTCCTGTAAGACCTATTTGTAGCCACCCAGGGCTACCAGCATCAGTCTCACTTGCCAGCTATATTTTGGACCTTCTCACCAGGGACTCTGCCCCACAGCCATCACCAGTCTCTGTTGTAGACAACACTCTTATTGGCATTTTGTGCCTGAAAAGGGTGCAAGAGGAATGTGTCTAGATTCAGCCCATCTCTGCGCTGCCGCGGTAGCCCCATACCCACACATTGTGTGAACCCAGGTGGCCATGTCAAGGGAGCACACAAGGATCTCTGCTTTTTGATTCCCATCACCTTCCTAACCTAGAAGGGGGCTCTTCTGATGGGCATCGACTTTTCCTACTTTAATGCACCCCTTCAAATTTCCATAGGGCCATGCTCCATATGGGCATGCCTTGAAAGGGCAGGTTTCCATTGCCCTTCTGGCCCTGCATCAGTAAAAACTCAAACACAGAAGCCTTTACTATTGTTCATTTCTTCAAAATGTAATCCAGCCCAGCAAGCTGATTAGTTCTTACCTTCCTTGATTAAGAGTAGCAACCTTCCAAATAGGATATTGTCCATTCACCTTGGAACTGTCCTCTACAAACCCAGCAATTCTTGGGTGGTCACTTCAGAGCTATTTATAGAACACTCTCCAAGTGACAGTAGAATACAGCAAGCAGCTCCTCACACAGTTCCAGAGTCAGTCCTAGGAGAAACAGAGGCTCCCTGCTTGTGAATCTCCTCCTTGCACTCTGCAGGGAGCATGAACCCATATAAACCATTTCCATTTTATAATGGAACTCTTCTGGGCACTGCCGTCCTCATTATCTTGTTTCTCTTACACCACCCAAGAAAGCATGGCTATTTCAGGTATCAGGATCATTTTATGTCCCTCAGTCATAGGGGTAGCTTCAGTTAATGTCTCATAGCAAGGCAGTAAATGCCCCCCAGTGGAAATTCTCTAGTCCAAAATCCCAGTAGTCCTGCTGGGAGGTGCTCACAGGATTTGCCATAAGCCCCCAGTAAACACTCCATAAAGGGTTATCAAATGGAGAATTTGTCCCGACCAGCACCCCAGCTTCTACTATACATTGTGTGAGCTTATACAATCTTACCAGTTCCCATTTAGCCCCATTTAGCATGTCCAAATAATATTGGTACAAGGGCAGATTTATATTCCTTCTCTTTTACAGTACTAGCTATAGTACTGTATATAACATATAGTACAGTATGTCCATCCCCACAATACAATCAGGTAAAAGAGATGCAACCACTTCACATAAAGTGTGTTCAAATGTACCAACTCCCCTATAAACATTTACCTTAGTCCCATCAACTCTTACTTTCCTAACTGCAGCCTCCATGAGGACTTTAACAGGTTTTGGTTTGAGAATCCTAGGTAGGGGAAGTGTTCCTCATCCAACATAATATCCAGTTCCATAAAACATTTAGTAAAGGATGCCAGGCGCAGTGGCTCACCTGTAATCCTAGCATTCTGGGAGGCCGAGGAGGGTGGGATCGTTTGAGCTCAGGAGTTCAAGGGTTTTAATTCTACTAAAAATAGAAAGAAATTACTTGGACAGCTAAAAATATATAGACAAAAAATTAGCCAGGCATGGTGGCACATGACTGTAGTCCCAGCTACCCGGGAGGCTGAGGCAGAAGGCTCGCTTGAGCACAAGAGTTTGAGGTTGCTGTGAGCTAGGCTGATGCCACCGGCACTCTAGCCCGGGCAACAAAGTGAGACTCTGTCTCAAAAAAAAAAAAAAAAAAATCTAGTAAAGGAGACACAAGTTATTTACATAAAGCCTGTTTAAACATTACAACACAATCCTATCAACCCTTACATTTCTATGTTCTACTCCCAGGAACTTCTCCACCCACAGACCACTTTACCCAGCCCAGTACAAAGGCTTTGAGTCCCAGCAGGAGATTGAGCCTAGAGCCTCCACATTGCCCCAAGCAATTGTTGGTCAGATTCCCCATTGTAATCTCTGCCTTCTGACTTTTTCAGTTTCTCCAAACTGGGATAAATACAGCAGCCTGCTTGGAACCCCTTCATGTCAGAAACAGTGGAGGTTCCCTCTGGCCCACCCAGCCTTTAATACTGTTGTATTAAGACCTTTGTTTTAGGCCAGGCGCGGTGGCTCACGCCTGTAATCCTAGCACTCTGGGAGGCTGAGGCGGGCGGATCACTCCAGGTCAGGAGTTCTAAACCAGCCTGAGCAAGAGCAAGACCACATCTCTACTATAAATAGAAATTAATTGGCCAACTAATATATATGGGAAAAATTAGCCGGGCATGGTGGTGCATGCCTGTAGTCCCAGCTACTTGGAAGGCTGAGGCAGGAGGATCGCTTGAGCCCAGGAGTTTGAGGTTGCTGTGAGCTAGGCTGACGCCGAGGCACTCACTCTAGCCTGGGCTACAAAGCGAAACTCTGTCTCAAAAAAAAAAAAAAAAAAGGCCTTTGTTTTAACCCCAATTTCCATTTTATTTACTCCATTTCTTAATAACCATCTAAAGATTTCCACCCTGCTGGACCGAGTCCCAAAAGACTCTCCCTTTTCTTTTTTCTCTTACTTTCACCCCATCAAAGTTTTCTTCATCCACTGTTAAAATAACCATCTAAAAATGCCCACCTTCCTGGGATGAGAACTCTGACTCTGGCCCTCTGCCTTTCCCCATTTTCTTGTTAATTACCTTCCTGTTTTTATTAGCATCTGTAAGACCCGTGAGAGGAAGCTGAGACAGCAAATTTGATAAGCTTTCTCGGGCTGTAGCTCAGTTTTGCAGCAGTAAGGTTACATGGGTGCCCATGCAGAAGGGGCTGCCTTAACCACAGCATTTACCATGATCTGGGTAATGGGCACATTCAGTGGGTACATGTCATAAAGCCAGTCCCACATGGCTTGCATAGGAACCACATCAGCTGCTTCATCTGGGGTGCTTCACTGGATATGTATAGGTGTAGTTGGGCAGTCCCCCTTCTCAAGGTAAACAGAACTTACAGTGGCTTTTGTCCAGACCACTAGGCTGGCCATTCCCTCAGGAATAACCTCTAGTGTTCTGGATTGTATATACCTAACTGTGATTATTCCACAGTGAGCTGTGGGTCCTGTATCCACCCAAACACGCTCTTCTACTAGGCAGCATTTAAAACTAAAGATACTGCTCCTGAATTAGTTACTCTCACAATCCATTTTAGTAAAGGCGCCTCAGGGAGCTATACTGGTCAGCAAAAGGAAACAATTCCATCCCACTATACCCTCTGGTTTCAGTAGGTTTGCCCTTCCCCCCATGGACTGCCTTCTCAGTAACCACAGTTCTTAAAGGTACTTTCTGTTGTGCCAAGGCATAATTTTTGCCTTGGGGGTCAGCTTGGAAGCCCAGACAGACTGAAATCTGAACTTGATCTAGAACAAAGGTCTGACCCGGCACTCTCTTTTTTTATAATTTCATTTTAGCCATTATAGATAACAACTGCCAAGGGATTGAATATTTCACTATTATTAGTCTACATTCCCTTAGGCCTCCAGGTAATCAGCTCCCCAAGGAGTTGGATCCATCTCTAAATTCCACTGGTAACACTTACCTTGGGTAACTGATTGCAGCACAGCTGCAGCTCTCTACCATGGGTGACCATGTAGCCACCCCAGAATCAAAGGTTCCTCATCCCCAACCCCAACCCTTTCCTCCTTTCTCTTCCCAAACCACTTATTAATATTTCGATGAGTCAGGACCGTTCTAGCAAACCTTTCTTCACTGACACCAATTGATGAGAGTAGAAAAAATTCTCACACAAACTCAAAGTACTTTTCTATTCTCTCACTCAACAACAATCAACACAGAAGACTTCTTTGACCAAATGTGTGCGAGGATTTCTCCCCCACAAGCTATCAATTCTGCAGGGACCCCAGCTGGTTGTCCTCTAATTCAGTTGTAATCCAACACTACCTGGAGATGGTGTCAGACCCCACAAGATTGAGGGCTTAGTCCCCAAGACCACACACACCCACACACACACACACTCCAGATGCCAATCGCAAGCTCCAGGTTGTTTCACCTGTGCTTCTGACCCGCTGGCTATAAATCAGGGATCCCACAGCCCTCTCCTGGGGTCCCATTAATTGCTAGAGCAGCTCATAGCCCTCAGAAACACTTACTTACCTTTACTGGTGTCTTATAAAGGATAGTACGGTGGATGCAGATGAAAAGATGAACAGAGGCAAGACATATGGGAAGAGGCTTGGAGTTTGCATGCCCCCAATGAGCACAACACCTTCCAGGGACCTCCAGGTCTGCAGGCATCTGGAAGCTCGCCAAACCCTGTCCTTTGGGGTTTTTAAGGAGACTTCATTAGCACAACTTTCAGCCCCATCCCTGCCTTCCCTGGAGGGGAGGGATGAGGCTGAAAGTCTGGCCCTCTAATCCTGCCTTTGTCTTGCTGGTGAACAGCCCCAGTCCTGAGGCTACCCAGGGGCTCAACCCTACAGTCATCTCATTAGCATACAAAAAGACATCACTTTGGAGTTTCAACGAATTTTAGCAGCTGTCTGCCAGGAAAGGGGAGAAGAACCAATATATATTTCACAATATCACAGACCTGATAATCAGTTTCATTATCCTTCATATGGGCCTTTTCTTTTCATACGGGCTTAAACATGCTATCTTTTAGTAATGTACAACACAAAAACACTGTAGCAACCTCAGTGGCAGTCATAAGAATTGGAATCACCTCAGAGGTGGCAGTTGAAAAGCAGACAGGAAATTAGCAGGTTTAGCGTGGGGGAGAAACTTTAGCTTTGAATTAGATGACCATTCTTTTCTATGGGTTCTTTGAAAAGCCAAAGGTAGATAAAGATTTCTGAAAATGAAGCATTTGATGATAGAATTCTGAAAATAATTTAGTCCATTGTATTGCCACAGTTATAACACACACACACACCTATACCCTAGGCAACAGCGACTTGGATTGCAATGAAATATAATGTATTAAAAAGGCATCACAGGCTGGATGCGGTGGTGTGCACATCTATAGTCCCAGCACTTTCCAAGGCTGAGGCAGGAGGATCCCTTGAGGCCAGGACCTCCAGACCAGCCTGAGCAACATAGTGAGACCTTATCTTTACAGAAAATTAAAAAAAAAAAAAAATAGCTGAACCTGGTAGTGCGTGCCTGTAGTCCCAGCTACTCAAGAGGCTAAGGTGGAGGATCATTTGAGTCCCAAGAGTTTAAGGCTGTGTCAAGCTGTGATTGTACCACAGCACTCCAGCCTGGACAACAGAGAGAGACCTTATTTGTCTCTAAAAAAAATTTTTTTTTAAACAGGTATCATATAGCAGTGTCAAGAATTCCCACCACTCTGTCTCTTTTTTTCCAGGACCTGGCCATTATATTATGAATCCCTTTTGGATTTTTAGATTAAAAATCTAAGTCAAGTCCCCTGCTCCATGTCACTTCCTGTTCTTATTCAGGGGGAAAAAGAGACAGAGATGTCAAGGAAAGGGGAGGAAGAATTAGGTATCTCAAGTCTTCCCTCCTGTACCCTGTTAGTGTCTGTATTCATTTTCTCTTAATTAAGAGCCCCAAGTATCGAAGTCACAAGTTTTACTGGGAACCACATTTTAAATATTTATTTTAATAATAAATGAGGCCAGGCAAGGTGGCTCACACTTGTAATCCTAACACCTTGGGAGGCCAAGGCAGGAAGATGGCTTGCAGTCAGGAGTTTGAGACCAGCCTGAGCAAGAGCAACACCCGTCTCTACTAAAAATAGAAAAATTAGCTAGGCACAGTGGCTCGCACCTATAGTCCCAGCTGAAGCAGGAGGATCACTGGAGCCCAAGAGTTTGAGGCAGTGGGCTATGATGATGCCACTGCACTCTAGCCAGGGCAACAGAGCAAGACCTTGTCTCCATAAAATAATAATAATAGTAATAAATAACCACTGAACTGCTTTTATTTTTATTCATATAATTTTTAAAATATCTCTGAGATAGTATTATCACTGTCACTTTCTAGATGATAGATGTAGATCAGGTCCACAGAGGATAAATAACTTGTCTACAATAATATAACTGGTATATTGCAAGGCCTAGATTTGAACCCAGGTAGTCTTACTTCAGAGCCCATAGTCTTAGCTCTTATACTGACTCTCATAATATGATAGTACTCATCAGATTCTGGTTTATTACCTTAGATAAAGTGACTAAGTATCACCAATGACCAAAAACATATCTTACTTATGTACCTGTCTCCAGTTTTTAATCTGGAAATTTATTAACTCCTGGCAACTCTCCATTGTAAAAGTACTCTTTTCTTATTGTAATTGGCAAGTAATCTGAGAGTCATATTTTGAGACACTGCTAATATACTCTGATATCCTTTCACTTAATGGATTTTAACATTCTTTGATGATTCTTACCTAAATCAGCTGTTTCATTGGTGGTTACAGCTTGGTAATCTTTTGATCAATGGAGATATATTAGACTTCAAA